CCGCTAACCGCCACTCTCCCGCCTGGTGTAGACACAGCGGCTCCCCGCTAACCGCCACTCTCCCGCCTGGTATAGACACAGTGGCTCTCTGCTAACTGCCACTCTCCCGCCTGGTGTAGACACAGCGGCTCGCCTAACCGCCACTCTCCCGCCTGGTGTAGCTTGCTAGCTCGATGTCTGACCAGTCATGGAGGTGTACGATAACCAAAAGCCACTGAGAGAGGGAAACTCTGATTTTATTCTGACTGAAGGTGACCTCACATTGACCTACGGGGACAGCACAGTGACTGCAAATGGCTCCTCAGGTTCCCACACTGCCTCCATGAGTCTGGAGGGCAGCTGGAGAATGAAGAGCAGCTCAGACGAAGTGCTGGAGCGGGACCTGGGAATGGGAAACCGGAAGGTTTCGAGCCGGGGTGCCCACCTAGTGGTTCCTCTGGAAGATAATGTTTGACTTTCCCCCCAAACCCTGGCACGATGGAGGAGGCTCCCAAAGGGGTGAGGATAGCTTCAAGCCCTAGTGTTGCTTGAGGTGGGGCAGTGACTAGATTGAACTAACTTTTCTATTTTGTTGGGGTCTGAAGCTATTGTAACACTTAAAATTTAACTCACGATGCAGATGGTGAGGCAAAAGTGTCTCTAAATTCAGACAAACGTAGACTTATTTCTACTTTTTTTTTCAGATAGTAGCGCGCTGTTTCAGAGTTAAGCAAACAAAAAAATAGCATACTTTAATGGTCAGTATCTGAACAAGGCAGGGCAGGTGCTGTGTGGAGGGCTTCCTCTTACGAGAGGCTGCATGTCAGTACACAGTGGTGCAAGTCAAGCTGACCACAGAAATATCAAGTTAGGGGAGAACAGGCTGGAAGAAAGATCGAGAAGGAAGGCAATTGAGATTGGACCTCCAGAGATTATGGGAAATTGTTGTTAAATGGAACAGAAAACATGAAAAAATAATATGAGTGGAGGCTCTGGCAATGAAGGCTGTGTGACTGCAACCTCATATCAGGATTCCTGACTTTTATGCTACCTGTGTTTCTTCTAGACTGAAGATTTGAAAATACATCCACAAACATTTCAACATGTAAAAAAGAATTATAGTTCCTTCTCTGGAGATGTCCGTAAAGAAGTAGTTATAATATGTTTAAAACCAGACCAGGCGCGGTGGCTCACACCTGTAATCCCAACACTTTGGGAGGTCGAGGCAGGCGGATCATCTGAGGTCAGGAGTTCGAGGCCAGCCTGGTCAACATGGTGAAACCCCGTCTCTACTAAAAAATACAAAAATTAGCCGGGTGTCGTGGCAGGTGCCTTAATCCCAGCTACTTGGGAGGCAGAGGCAGGAGAATGGTTTGAACCTGGGAGGCTGAGGTTGCAGTGAGCCTAGATAAAGCCATTGCACTCAAACCTGGGGGACAAGAGCGCGACTTCTGTTAAATAAATAAATAAAATAAATAAAATTAAAAAATCAAAGGCAAGTAGTGTTACACTGTTATTTTTTAGTTAATCTGAAGAAAGGAGGTATTTAGAAACTGATGATGGTATCACTGCAAAAAGCATTAAACTTTGAGGGCTACCATATGAGCTGACAGCCTAGGAAATAGTAAGACTGTGGGTTTAGAAATAACACCAAATTTTGTAGGATGCTATTATCTGGGGAAGGGAAGGCAGCAAGAAACCTTCAAGGCAACAGGCTAGAATTCAGAGGGAAAGAAATCTCTATGCAAAAAATTAACTGCAAAGAAATACAAGATAGTAGTCTCAAAACTGGGTAGAATTCCGAACTTCGAGCTGACAAATGCATGAGATTTCAGTGGCCGCATGAGGAATCAGAGGGGAGTCAATGGAACGTTAAGTATTTTCAACCCACTAGAAGGTCCTGTCTTCTGTAAGTTTAAGAATCCGAGTATCTTTATGCCATTGAGTACCGTGCAGAGAAGGGTCATTTTCCCTTTATCTGGGGAGGCTGCGCACCAGCTTTACATGTGGGTGTGATTTGAAAGTTAGGTTTTCAGTTTGGGTTCTTTCTGGATGAGCTGTTCTGTCCACCCACACCTGTAGTGCTGAAATACTGAAAGACCTTTCGGGAAAAGTTTGAGTTTCTCCCCATGTTTCTGTGCTTCAGCAGTAGCTTTTTTTTTTTTTTTAGCAACCCAATTTCTAAAAAATGCTTTCAATAACGTGGGCATTTTCTTATTGTGGCAGAAAAAATAGTGTCCCAGTCTAGTCCACCCATAATGAAATCAGCCATTTAATCTTCTCAATTAGCATGTTTAATGGTTAATTTTTAAATAAGACATTGCTTCACAACGTTTTCATTTTTTATTTTTAGTTTTTTGAGATGGAGTCTTGCTCTGTCACCCAGGCTGGAGTGTAGTGGTGTGACCTTGGCTCGCTGCAATCTCTGCATGCCCGGGTTCACGTGATTCTCCTGCCTCAGCCTCCCTAGTAGCTGGGATTGCAGGCACCTGCCACCACGCCTGGCTAATTTTGTATTTTCAGTAGAGATGGGGTTTTGCCATGTTGGCCAGGCTGGTCTTGAACTCCTGCCTTCAGGTGATCCACCTGCCTTGGCCTCCCAAAGTGTTAGGATTACAGGCATGAGCCACCACACCCGGCCTGCTTCACAACTTTGTGTTCGAATTGATGATGTGTGCAAATCAGGAAACTATTTAATTAATTCGAGCCATATGAATTTGCTGATATTCAACCATTTTGTAAAAACAGGAGTGGCAATTTCATATGGTTCAATAAAATAAAATTGAGGCCGGGCACAGTGGCTTACACCCATAATCCCAACACTTCGGGAGGCCGAAGCAGGATGATCGCTTGAGCTCAGGAGTTTGAGACCAGACTGGGCAACATGGCAAAACCCTGTCTCTACAAAAATACAAAGATGAGACAGGCATGGTAGCACATACCTTTAGTTCAGTTCTAGGTACTTGGGAGGCTGAGGTGGGAGGATCGCTTGAGCCCAAGAGGCAAAGGTTGCAGTGAGCCAAGATCATGCCACTGGTAACCAGTCTGGGCAACAGAGTGAGAACCTGTCTCAAAAAACAAACAAACAAACAAACAGACAAATTTATTTTTATGTATGGTATGAGAAAGGGATTTGTTTTGTTTTGTTTTTGAAATGGAGTCTTGCTCTGTTGCCCAGGCTGGAGTTCAGTGGCACCATCTTGGCTCACTGCAACCTCTGCTTCCTTTGTTCAAGCGATTCTCTTGTCTCAGCCTCCTGAGTAGCTGGAATTACAGGCACCGGCCATCACACCCAGCTATTTTTTGTATTTTTAGTAGAGAAGGGTTTCACCATGTTGGCCAGGCTGGTCTCAAACTCCTGACCTCAGGCGTTCTGCCCCACTTGGCCTCCCAAAGTGCTGGGATCACAGGCATGAGCCACTGTGCCCAGTCTTAGAAAGGGATTTAATTTGTTTTTTTTCTTCCAAATGGATAGCTCCTTGTCCCAACACTATCTATTAGTCTGTCATTTCCCAAGTAATTTAAATGTCTCCTTTAACATATACTAAGATTACACACACACACACAAATGGACACACACATATATATGTGTGTGTGTATATATATGTATTTTTTTTTCTGTACTTTTTATTCTATTCATATTGATCTATTGGTCTATTTTTTCCCAGTGCTATTTCAATTATTGTGACTTTACAACATAGTTGACATCTGGTAAAGTTCTTTTTCTAATGAACCTTAACTTTTTTGGCACAACTCATAGATGAACTTTAAAATTAACTTGCTACTTCTATAAAGTATCCTGTTGTAATTTTGATAAAAATTATCTTACATTTGTTATTTAATTTGGGGGTATAATATCTGCATACTATTGAGTCTTTTCATCTAGAAATATCTTTTATGGCCTTCATTAAAATTATATGGTTATCCTCAACAATATTCTTTTCTTTTTTTTGAGACAGGGTCTCACTCTGTCATCCAGGCTGGAGTGGAGTGGCACAATTTCTGCTCACTCAACTGCCCAGGCCCAGATGATCCTCCCACTTCAGCCTCCGAAGTAGCTGGGACTACAGGCATGTGCCACCACACCTGGCTGATTTTTTGCAGAGACTGGGTTTCGCTACGTTGCCCAGGCTGTTCTTGAACTCCTGTACTCAGGTTATCCACCCACGTCAGCCTCCCAAAGTGATAGGGTTACAGGCATAAGCTACCATGCCTGGCAACAGCTTTCATATTTTTAAGTTTTTTTCCTAAATAACCCAAGGTCTATTGAAATTGAATATAGCTTTCTTTTCTATTACATATTTAAATAGATTTTTTCTGATTTTAGAAAAGCTGTAGATTTTTATATGTTAATCTTGTTTCCTTTCTGAAAGTTTTAATTAGTCCATATAGATTACCTGTGATTCATTGGATTTTCTAGGTATAAATCTACCTTGCCAATATTCATACTTATTTCTTTTTTTTTTCTGGTATTTTTGCATTGCTTGGTAACTCTAGGACAATGTCTACTATTGATGATAAAAGTAGGCATCATTATGTGCTGTTTCTGAGTTCTGTGGAGATGTGGTCTAATGTTTTGTTCTTTAGAATGATGTTTGGAGATTGGCAAAATGTTGATTATTGTTGAAGATGAGTGACAGGTCCATAGCAACCATTAATCTATTTTCTGTATGCTTGTGTATGTTTGAAAATTTCCATAATAAAAGAGTTAAATTCTACAAAGAGTCAAATTTAAAAAAAGAACAAGACTTATTTTAGGTTTTTGGTAGAAACCCCTTTTCAGGCCGGGTGTGGTGGCTCACACCTGTAAACCCTGTACTTTGGGAGGGGGAGGCGGGCAGATCACCTGAAGTCAGTAGTTCGAGACCAGCCT